ACTGAAATAGAAATGCAGGGATCAATTACAGAGACTACTGAAATGTGGTCACCATTGGGATAACCTACAGAAATGGTTCACTAACCCACAACAATTATACACAGCAGTTTTGGAGAAGAAGTAAGGAGTTTTGACCAAGATCCTTAAACTAGCGACTGAGGTTAGCCTCCTAAGGGTGGAACTTTCAACGGAGCCCAGGTGATTTAGGAGCAAAAGTGCTATTGAAATTCAGTGGGTGCAATGAATGAAGTAATGATACTAAGGCACAGGGGTGTCAAAATCTGACTCCTGAAAGGGATATGGTAGTCCGGAATGGTTGAGAACCACTACTTTAGACCATGCCAATTCTCTTTAGATGCATGGTCTAAAGCAGTGGTTCTCAACCTTTCTGGACTACTGTACCCCTTCCAGGAGTCTGATTTTTGTCTTGTGTATCCCCAAGTTTCACCTCACTTAAGAACTACTTGCTTACAAAATCAAACAAAAATACAAAAGTGTCTCAGCACACTTTTACTGAAAAATTGCTTACTCTCTCATTTTACCATATAATTATAAAATAAATTGATTGAAATATAAATATTGTACTTACATTTCAGTGTATAGTGTATAGAGCAGTATAAATAAGTCATTGTCTGTATGAAATTTTAGTTTGTACTGACTTCGCTAGTGCTTTTTCTGTAGTCTGTTGTAAAACTAGGCAAATATCTAGATGAATTGATGTACCCCCGGAAGACCCCTCTGTGTACCCCTGGTTGAGAACCACTGCTCTAAAGAAAAGAGCATAAGGGGGGCGTTAGAACATCTGATCCCAGAACTGCCACAGACTCGCTGTGTTATCTTAGTCAAGTCATTTCACCCCTCTGCCTGTGTACTTCCCCTCCTCCACCACCCAATGTATACACGTGACATAATATATATCTATAATAGAGGGGTGGTGTGAGAACTAATTAATTAATGTTTGCACACAGTGCTTTGAACATATGAAGTACAAAATTTTGTTTCACCCTGAGATCCACAGAGAAATCCTCCTTCTCTCAGAACATCTGGACTGTGGGCCCATTCTTCCATGCTACTCTTTAGGGCATAATTTTCTAGTAGAATGCCTCCCTCAGGAGCAAAATTGCCATCGCCTTCCACATCCACACCTGGGTCATAATCCTTCTCCCCCTAAGGGAATAAATAGCAAGGAATGGACTATAGGCGACACATGGGGGGGCACGATTTCTGCCAGGGTGGGCTGAGCGCAGCTGAAGGGTTGTGCCTACTAAAGACACCAGCAGTGAGTGCCCCTGCTGAGCCCCACTAGCTGGTGCCCAGAGCAGGGAATTGAAACCGCTCTCTGCCAGAGGGGAGCAGGGGGGCCTGCTGAGTCACATCCCTTCCTCACTGGCTGGCAGCCAGCTACCTGATCGAGTAGGTGTCTGGACTCCCCTGCCTGGAGCTCAGGCAGTCAGTTGGGGCATTGAGGGGGGGAGGCAGCGGGAGCTGAGGTAGTGAGCCCAGGGGCGATGGGTGGGAGCTGGAGGAGGCAGCGGGGGCCAGGAGCAATTGGGGGGGGGGGGGGAAGGGCCAGGGGAGGGGTTGGGGTGCCGGGAGAGGCAGTGAGGGCCAGGGGCGATGGGAGGGAGTTGGAGGAGGCAGCGGGGTCCAAGAGTGATTGGGGTTGGGGAGTCCAGGAAGGCAGTGGGGCAGGGTGCTAGGGTGCCATTTTCCCTAAGGCCAATCATGACAGAGTGAACTTTAAGAATAGGCGACGTGAGCGACCAACCAGTGTGCCATGGTCAGAGGGGTGCCGTGGTCAAGAGGGTGTTGCTGGAGGGTGCCTTGGCAGTCACCAGGAAGTTGACGGTGACGGTGGCGGGGGGACACCATTATGCCTTCCCCCATCAGCAGTTACCAGTCGCCTATGAAATGGACTGTAAAGGAGGAAATGCTGACCTAGCTAGTACAAACTTGCAGAGGAATTTTCACATAAGTTTCACATGACTGTTCTTCTCTGATCAGTCATGATTCCAAAATGCCAGTAGCACCTGAAAGGGAAAATGATACTAGAAGGCCTCCTTTGCCTTTCCTCTTTAATCTTTAGGGCCATTTGAGTGTGAATTCCTCTCCTCTGAACCTTTCCACGCTAAACAGCTAAATAGGGATGACAAAGCCCATAGTGTAAAGGTGTAATCTATTGATGGTCAATCTGCTCCATGGAATATCCTATGCTGTATAAAAGCTAGTTTGCTTTAAACATAAATTCCATCTTTAAGTGCATGCAAGTCTTAACACTTCATCCAGCTTTATAAGCTGAAAAACACCTTTCTGGGTGGCTAATGGATCCATTACATTAGTGGTACTTCATGTGAACTGAACTGGCACCTACCAAGTTCATTGCAAGAAAAACAAAAACTTCAGTGAGGCATTCATTCAGTAGACTTAATTTTCAGCTCTCCCCTGAGGAATTCACAATAAATACCCTGAATTTCCTATAAGAAAACTGAGTTGAAAATGTTATGAAATAAACATACGTAGCTAATGTAACCAACATCTCCAACATTGTCTCTGCATTTCATGAAACAGCAATTACTAGGTTGCAACTGCAATCAGAAATGGGGGAATGAATTGTTCTTGATAACAGTGATGAGTGTAGTCAAAAATCAGGCCTGTTTCCTGTTCATCAAGCATCACATTAAAGATGATTGAGGTAATTTTGTATTGAATTGCTTACTACTATGTTTTGATCTTTGGCTTCAGCTACTGAAATGAGGCAGTGTCTGATGTGGAAGGTTGGGATTCATGATCTTTTTTCTAATGATAGGTCATTGATGGTGACTCCCAACCTCAACTAGAAGTCACAGAATACATAAAGATTTACTTGCAATAACTCCCATTGAGGTCGCTAGTTGCTAGCCACATAAATCTCTCACGCATCAGGGGAAGAAAATAAAACTGACCCTCCTAAGAAAATAACTTTGTTTAAACCTCACCGGATAAATCTCCCTGGTACAAACTATATTAGCAGACATTTTATAACCATATAAATCATAGTACCATAAATATTTGGGGTAAAAGGAACTTGGGCGACAATAGAGACTTATTAGAAGTCTAAACCTGCACAAGACTAAAACTGGACCCTATCTGAGAAAGTAATTAGGCTATGAATGGAGTCTTTGCCTTGAAAGATATTTCCAGAAAGAGGAATAGGATGGCTAGTTAGGTTTCCGATTCCCCATTTTATAGGGTCTTGGCTACAGTTATCAGTCCAGAAATTCTGGATCAGCCTTTCCTTCCTCTATATTATCAAACTCTTAGCCTATAGAAAAGGTGATCAAAGTCTAGGACTCTGGCAGTCTAAATGGCAGATGTAGTAGTTGAAGTTCCTCATGCAGAATAAGGAGAGGATGGGGAGGAACTGGCATGTGAACTGACTGGATAAATTTGTCCCCAAACCAGATAATTGTAAAACTAGGCCAATTTATTTATTGAGTAAACAAAAAGAAGTTTATTTGTTTCTTGCCTAACTGGTACTCTGTGTGTGGGTGTGGGTGTGTGTGTAGAGCTCTGGGCACAATAGGACACACAAAAGGAGCTTGTTAGTCTTCAATTACAAAACAGAATGGTATAGGATTTTAGTTCCATTAACAACATTTCCTAGCCTTGAGGAATATTGTATCTATTCTTCATCTGCACAGGGGACTTGTGTGCACAGTTCTCATTAGTGTTAATGGGAGTTACCTCATGTGTAAATCCATTAGATATTGAATGGGGAAGGTATCATTTTTACTCTAGGGTATAAAATAAAAATGAATGTAGTCATTCAGATTTAATATTTTTAGAGGCAAATTGTCCAAGTATCTTCCTGTTTTGCTAATCATAGATGAAAAGGAAACCAAAGTAATTTTATTCTATCCCTTTGGCTAGAATGAAATAGGAACAGGTCGGTCCATTTGTAAAGGCTCCTAATTGACCTTTATTATTTGACATCTCTAGCACTGTGTGATGCATTACAAACTGTTCTTAAATAGGAATGGAAGATACCCTAACACTGCATCACTTTTTTTTTTTTTTAAAGTTTAGGAAAAGCAACAGATATGGCTTCTATTGTTTTTGTTTTCAGGACAAGATGCCAACAAAGCAAAAAGTTTCAGATGGAAGCAATTAATGGAAGATTAGAATTGCAGACAAATGCTAAGAAGTGGTTAAGAACTAAGGGGACAATCTTGTCAAAGGGATTTTGAATCTTTTGTTGGTCTGAAGCAGAAAATTCCTTAAATTTTTCTCTTTTTAATTGAAGTAAATCAGGCTTTCAATGTATTTTCATAGTTGTATAATGAAAAAAATCTATTCATAAGGATGAAGGTCGGGAGGGAGAGTGTGTATGTACTGGTATTGATAAACAAATCACTTTGGAGCCCTCCACATCAGACTTCTGGGTGTTTAGGAAAGCAATAACTCCGTCAAGAGTGAATTATACCATTTGTATCAGAATTGGAATCACTAAGGTCATATTTTAGTAGGAACCTTAAAAACATTAATGATATGGAAGGCATAAGACATGGCTTTGCTATTTTGATTGCAAATTTGATAACAAAAATCACATATTCTAGATGGAGGATTTGTAATGAACACAAAGGAGTTTGCTTGCCTACACATACTGCTTTTGACTCTTAAAACAAGAGATTAAATTGTAACTTAATTTCCAAGTGCTTAATGCAGGTTACTTTTTAAAAATGTACAATGTGTTAATGGTACCCGAAGAGAAGTTAAGGAAATTATTAATAGCAATTTGTAAGTATGTACGTTTGTTAAGCAAGCTTGAGATACATCTTATATTAGAAAGTTGTATTTCTTTGTAGGTTCCATGAAATATAAAAACAAGCAATACGTTTTCCTTAATGTATATAGCTGTTTAGAGTTTGCAACAATTTTTCATACCATTTTGTTAGTGGTAGATGCAAATCAACACTTTTTTTTCTCTTTGTATTCTGTCCCTGTTCACGTGTGAACTGCAGATGGTTCTGTGAAGGGAAAGAGTTGCAGAATTCCCCTGATATTCAGATCCATTGTGAAAGTGGAGGCCTTCATTCACTAGTCATAGCAGAAGCCTTTGAGGACGATACCGGACGTTACACTTGCCTGGCATCAAATTCTGTTGGCTCTGATAGTACTTCAGCAGAAGTATTCATTGAAGGTAAGAAAAAGGGTAAAATGAAAATACTTAGGCTCCTAAATCAGTTAGGCATTGCAATGCTGAGCTCGGCAATACTTAAATACCTTTACAAATCTGGGCCTAAGTCTTGTTTTCAAAGGGGATGTAGGCATCTAGGAGCCAAAATCTCATTTTAAAAATGGAGCTGACTTTAGATACTGCACGTTAGGTTTCGTTTATGATTTTGTTGCTTCGAGATTTTCGCTGAGTCAAGCTAGGCCTTACGCTCAACTTGGTGGCATTTCTGTGTCTCTAAAAATTCCGGGAATTTTCTAGACATCAATGAGGAGAACCATATTGATTTTGGCAAAAATTGGTAAACTGAAAGAGGAAATGGGGGACACACAGGCACTTTGGCATCTGCTTAGGAGAGCTTAGGGCTCCAATAGTCTTTAGATCAAAGAACCAGTTGATGGCACCCATTAACATCTTCTGACATACCAGTCATGGCAGCTCAGCTCTGCCCATCTTCCCAGTACAGTTTTAAAACATTGACCCCCTGAATGAAGTATCTTCCAGACAGAAATTAAATAAAAATAATGGGAGGAAGAGTGGAATGGGGGCTCACACAGATGCTGGCATAGGGAGAGGATGGATGGTAGATGCTGATGTGGGGAAGAAGGAGGGAATGTGCGGGAGAATGGAGGAATCTGTTATGGGGGAAAATGAGGAATGGAGGGGTGTACACAGATCCCGTGGGGCTTCCTGGGAGTCCCTGGAATAGAAGGGGATGAGAAGGTGCCACATAGGCTGCTTGGAGTGGGGAAGAATGAAAGGAGCCCTGGCCTACAGAAGCAACAAATTGTGTGATCCTCTACTTAGGATTATTTTGGCATGAAAGCCATTTTGACACTGTAACCTTTTGTAGTGTCATGATCCAAACTTAGACTCCAATCCTACAAACAGAATAAACTCAGATGGACTACTCACAGATTTAAAGTGCCTCACTTGTTTGCGAAGTTGAGGCCTTAATTTCTAATTGAATGTACTAAATCAAACAAAAAAAATTCTGATAGTCACCTAATGAATGCAGTGAGAATCTGGCCTGCATGATTTAAATATTTGCTTCTCTAAAGCTTTTAAGGGAGATTAAAATACAGGCATGTCCTGAACCAAATACCAATAATTCTTCTCATGTTTCTTTGAATTCAAGATTGCTCAGAGTTCAAGTACTGTATTAACCAACTGAAGTTAAACTATTGTGGAAAGACACTTAAAGGCGTTTTTAATTATGGAATATTTAAAGGCGTAGTTGAGTTAATTCTAATTTTTTCCTTTGAGCAACTATTGTTCTTTCAACCATTTTTGGCATTTATTTCTTTTAGAGGTTTCAGTTCATAAATGCAGCCGGTTAAATTTTATTTTAACAGTTAAATATGTAAAAATAGATGGATATAGTAAACACTTGTAACATATGTGTGTGGATATCAACATATTACAAGGATCAGCTCTTGACCAACAAAAAATCCACTTTTCATTAGTAATTAGAAACTAAACAGAGATGCATAATTTAATATTAGTACTATTTTTTTTATCATTCTCTAAGTGTTGTATTTTCAATATTCAGTACTTAAATACAAAGGAAAATCCCCATTCCAATGAACGTATAGTCTCTACTAGATCTAGAGCTGTTATTCTGCATTGAGATACATTAGCATGCTGTTGTCCTGTTAACATCCATTCCTCAAACACTCTTCTCTCTAAAGCCCCACCCACCCAAGACCACTTTCTCCTTCATTCATGGGTACCCATAAGAAACTTTCATGTAGACTCCATTTTGGGGATAGTAGCCATGATGATAAAGCTCACTGCAACAGTTGTCAGACAGCTGCTGCTTCTGCTAACTTCTCCCCAAAGTCTTTTCTTTTTAAGAACCACAAAAAGGAGTCAGGGAGAATAGCTCATCACCCTTGCTGTTTTGTTGACCAATTAGCCCTAATTTCTGACACACATTAATTAGGGTTACCATATTTGAACATTGAAAAAAGAGGACACTCCATGGGGCCCCGGCCCCACCCCAACTCCGCCCCTTCCCCGCCCCGCCCCTTTCCCCGCCCCGGCCCCACCCAACTCCGCCCCTTCCCTGCCCCCATTCCATCCCCTTCCCCAAAGTCTCCGCCCCCTCCCCTGAGCGGCCCGCATTCCCCCTCCTCCCTCCCAGCCACACGAAACAGCTGCACCAATTCTAGAGTCAGGCACTCCACTAGTGTAGACTCCCATGACTTTAATGAAGCTGCTCAGTTTACACCAGTGGAGGATCTGCCCCGGCGCTCAGTTTTTGGGAGCGGTCAGGACACGCAGCTCACACTGTTCTGTTTCCCAGCTCCCCAGATGCCTTGGAGCACCCAGTTCTCCTCCCTGCCCGGTAAAATCCCGGACATTTTGAGCTATTTAAAAATTGCTCCTGGCCGTAATTCTTTATATGTAGTGAGTCCTTTCCTTTCACCAGTTCTTCAGTTTTCTTTCTCCTCATGTGCCCACGCATACGTCTCTGCAGATCTTATTTTTCTCAGCAGTTGTTGATTGCTCTTTAAGAAGGCATGAAAGTCTTTACAAGAAGTTTGTCTGAAGTTGTACTGTACAAGTAGAATTCCTTTCAACGACTCAACATTCAAGTTGGTCCTTTCCTTTGTCCACTGGCTTTGCATCAGTGAAAAAATTCGCTCTACATTTGCATTGTGAGAAGGAATAGCAAAGAAGAACTGTGCAATCTTTAACAGTTCTGAATGACACTCAATGTTTTTGGATTTCTCAAAATATTTGGTCCACTTCTGGTGTGCTAGCAAATTACTGAACTCTTCATCACTGTTGCAACTTTCTGTAAACTTCTTCAGGTTGCTGAACTGATCAAAACACTTCACGTCATCAATTTACATCCCCTTATCGGTCAGGTACTTGATACAAGGTTCCACATCACTCCAATTCGGTGTCTCACTCAGGGTAATCCACCTGAAACAAGAGAAGTCTTCCAGGGGTCTAAGCCACATCTCTAAATATTCTAAGCATCTGCTGTACATATTATTTACTTCAGCACAGAATTTGTCACACTCTTCATCAATTCCTTCCCTGCGCTTTTGTGCCAGTAGTCCCTTAACTTTCAGGGACATAAAGTTGTGAGTCTTGCGTTCAAGAAGGATAGTCTGAACCAAGTTCAAACTGTTCAGCACTTCCACAACAGAATTGCTTTCCCTTTCGATTTCTTGGATGTAAGTTTGGAATACACTCATGAGTGAATGCATGTGCCAGAGGTAAATCTCACTTAATTCATACTCAAAAAATGTCTTAAGCACTATGGGTGGTTTGTCCTGTGACAGAAAGAATGACTTCAAGGCCGGAAACATCTGTATCAGCCTTGTAATGCCTGGAAATAATGACAGCCATCGTGTCTTGCTATGAGAAAGCAGCTTTCTGTATTCAACTTCAACAAACTCACAGTACTCCTTCAGTCGCACAGTTCAGATGGTGTAGATATGAAAGTACTGGTAAATTTTAAAAATAATGTTCTCAATGTCAATGTTCATTCTTTCTGCTGCATGGTGAACACAGTTGTTCAAAATGTGTGCTGGGCAACCCACACCAATTAATGTTCTCTTCTGCAACAACTTCTTTAAGTTTGCAAACACGTTCTTTCCATCTTCATCACGCCGGAGTCCTCCAAACATTGTATTGCAGTTGTCACCTGTAAATGCAATACACTTCTCGAACAAACCATTTTTTTCAAGCGTTTCTTTTACGTAATGAGCAATTGTGTCGGCAGTCTCATTAGGTGTGTTCTGGACCTCAATCAATTTTGACTGCAAACCGCCATTCTTCCAGTTGAAATACTGAATAATTACTGGAAATATTTTCACTGAACCGTGATTGCTTCCATCTGTAGCAACTCCACAGTAAGCTATGTCATTTTCTTCAAACGTTTTCAGAACAACATCAACAGAATGCGGTGCAAGCACAGAGATAACAATTGCTTCTGTCTTGGTTCTAGCACTTGAAAATTTCCGTGCCATTTCAGAATCAGGGAATGTCTTCTTCAACAAGACAGATGTGCAATCCATTGACTTAAAGCTATTATGATGCTTAACGGTGTGAAATGCAAACACACCCTCTGCTGCAGTAACAGCATCCTCTGATTCGCTGCCTGGTTTTACAAAATAATCTGTCAATTTTGTTGATGAGCTCTCTCCTTGAACTGCTTTTTTTGTGCTTGTCTGAGTCCACATGAGTTTGTAAATCATTAGCACCTTTATTTTTCACAGAGATGTAAGTACCAGGTCTACATACCATGCACTCAGCTTCCCATTCGTCTCTACCACTTCGAAAACATGGGAACTTCGTCTTTAGTTCTGCAGTGAATTTACACTTTCGTTTTGGCATTGTGTTTGCTCCTAGGATCAGGGGCAGCCAGGGTCTCCACGTGCTGGGCCCGCCACAAGCCAAGCTCAGTGGCTCCCATTGGCTGGGAAAAGCTACAATGGGAGCTGTCGGAGCCAGCCCCTGCAAGTCCTGCCCCCACAGCTCTGATTGGGCAGGTATTTCACAGTGATCCACCACACTGCTGTGTCTCATCACAAATGGGGAGCTGAGCGCCATACAGCACGCCCCAGCCCCAGGAGCTCTGATCCACTTGCAGGCAAGGCAGCCCGATGCCTATCCCAGCCAGAGCTCCGATCCCTCTGCACGCTCCTGCCTTTTTTACACTGCCCTCCCCTTCTCCCCCACCACAGTCAGTGCTTCTTGGCGACTCCCCGGAGCAGCTCCCCCAGCGCTGCCCCCAACCTGTGCAATCAGCGGCGCATGGTACTCCCAGCTTTGCTGGCATCCCTGCCCCAATCCCAGGCTTACCTTAGAGCAGGCTCCGGCAACTGCTGCTTCTCCCTGACTCTTCGGCTCTGTTTAAGAGCCCAGCTGCCAAAGCGCTCCGGCTTCGGGCAGCTTGGCTCTTAACGGAGCCGAAGTCTGAGAGGGGAGGACTCACAGAGCAGCCGCAGGAGGGGAAGTGCCCGGACGGCATTTTTCCCGGACATGTTCCGCTTTTTGGCAATTCCCCCTGGACGGGGATTTGATTGCCGAAAAGCCGGACATGTCCGGGAAAAATCGGACGTATGGTAACCCTACATTAATTTCTGGTCCCGTACTTTTCTTGTTTACTCAGCATAATAGCTTAACACAGTCCTTCCTTGAATTATATCAGTGGGCCTTTTTGTTTGTACTAATTCAGTCTTTCATTTCCCTTTTGTACCTTTCTCCATCAATTTATTGTTTTAGGTTATTGTGACATTTTATAAACTTTCATTTGCTTTTCACAGCTGAGCTCACAATTAGGGTAAATTTGTAGGCCCAGTTATTACAACACACCTACCTCCTAATTTTTATAGCCTAGCAACATTGAATATAGACTGAATATTTAGGTATCTGCATGATTCTTTCCCCAGAAGTCAGTCTTTGTGATGTACTAATAACTAGTTGCTTATGATTATATCAAACAGAAATTTTGGAGTTTACGTTCAGAATAAGCAATGACAATTTCTCATTTTCACACATCTCTAAGGAAGAAATCCATACACCCCCACCAGGTATATCGAAGATTTGGATCTAAACAAAATTACTTTCTATGAAACATCAGTTGTGTTTTTTTTTTAAAAAAAGAGCATGAAAAAGCTTTATTCCCATGTTCAAGATGTTTCTAGATACATAGATTATATTAAAACTTCCAGTTGCACAGAATGCCCCGATTAAATTCTGAGTGTGATAAATGGAAAACATCAAAATTTGAACCCCAATTCTGATATTTTTCAAAGTATTAAGTTTCTTTCAAATTTCCCATTAAAGGAAGAACTAAAATCTGTGCACATAATAACCAGAATCTCAAGCAATCGTTAATGAAGGGGGTAAATAGGAATTAAAGACAGCATTTTGTTTCTCAGAAGGCTATGCAGGGTCATCAGCAGTAGTTTGGTGATGAGTATAATGCACGTAGATGAATATAAATAGCCTCTGAACTGAGGGTGGACAGTTTACCATGCAAATGTTATGCTATACCGAGTTATAGTTAAGGTTAAAGTTTATCTATAAATGTCTGAGCTGCACCTGTTCACTTAAACCAGCAGGAGGGTAAGCCTCTTTGCCACTCTGTAACAAGTATAAGTATGTGGATATAAAAGGATGGTGTCATTGCTACAAATATTTTTATATTTACTGTGTAAAGCCTTACTTGACAGACAGATGAAAGCTTAAAAATCAACCTGATGCAATAACAATGCATTGGGCATTATGACCAGTTTATTTAAACATGCTTGTGACATTACCCAGGGTACCGTCTGGACTGTTGAACAGCTGTGTTCCTCAATTCTCCAATCTGGGATGCCTTTTACGCTGCTTCACTGTGAGAGCAACCACTCCTGATCTGCCCACGCACAGCTTCCAGCATATAAATGACTGCCAGATATACTGAATGAGTGCTATAGCTAGCTAGCCAGCCAGCCATGAATTATATTACAGAGTGACAGCAGCAAATTCTCTACCCCAGACTTGTCCCCAGAAATGTGCATCTCGTATTGCCCCGTACCCTCCTGGACAATACAAGCACATAGAAAGTCTGTCATTTCATTTATAGAAAATGGTGTGCACAAATCTTGTTATCCCAAATGAAGTTCCCAAACACACTGGTTTAGATAAAACAAGTTTATTAACTACAGAAAGACAGATTTTAAGTGATTACAAGTGATGAGACATAAAAGTGAGAATTGGTTACAAAGAAATAAAAGGTAAAACACAAACTAATACCTAACTTAACAAGCTGAGTGAATTTAAAGCAAAAGGTTTCTCTCACAACATGCTTACAGCAGTCTGGCTGGATTCCTTTCAGCCAGAACCCCTCCCTCAGTTCAATGTTGTTTCCTTTGTCTTTCAAGTGTTGATGCAGTGAGGAGAGAGAGGTAATCTGAGGAGTTTGCTCCCTTTCCTTATAGCATTATTCTTCTTTGAAAATCATCTCCAGCTGGGGTTCAGGCAACAGCCAGTCTGTTTCTTTGCCAACGTGTAAATTTCTTGCTTACACCCTTTTTCCTGCCAAAGAATAGCTGCTTAACCAGGTGGTGGTCCATTTGATTATGTTGACACCTAGCTGAGGTGTTGGCTAGCCTGTTGTCTCTGGGGAACTGGTCTGAAGCTGTTTCACCAGACTTGGAGCATGTTTTAAACTAGAATTTTATAACTTTGCATACAATGTTGTCACACATATTTTACAAGAACAATAATGATAAGCAAATTATGAGCTTTCAAATGATAACTCTCAAGGCATACTTTGTACAAAATTTATCATAGTCTTGTAAAAAGGGTGAATATAAAGATACAGACTGTCACAATGCTTTACTGGAAATCTTGAATTAATGCTGACATTTTAATTTTAAAAAACCACAGTATATGTTAGGTATATAGTTTCTTTCATTGTGAGATCAAATGGAGCCTCTGGTGAAACCCAGGTCTGTGTATATCCAGATCTTGCCCCATTATCACCTCTTTCTCTAATCTATCAAAAATATAGCCACGCTAATTATTCATAGCTATTAATAGAGTCCAAGGCCAAAAGGGACCATTTTGATAGTCGAGGCTGATCTCCCATGCAACACAGGCCAAAGAACTTGCCCAAAATAATTCCTTTTGAACTACAACATTTTTAAAAAAATCCAATCTTGATTGAAAAATTGCCAGTGATGAAGAATTCAACACACACTTTGTAAATTCTTCTATAAGGTAATTAGCCATACTGTTAAAAAATATGTACCTTATTTCCAGTCTGAATTTGTCTTGCTTCAACTTCCAACTATTGGATCTTTTTACACATTTGTCTGATAAATGAGGAGCCTGCTATCAAATGTTTGTTCCCCGTGTAAATACTTATAGACTATGATCAAGTCACCCCTTAACCTTCTCTTCGTTGAATTAAGTAGAATGAAATTTCCTCCTCTCTACTGGCAGTTTTATTTAATACAACTTTAATAGCTACAGTGTATCATTTGCTATCATTCTTGCTATGAACTGGGGACAATGGAAATCCCAGATGAATTGTTAGGAAAACCTCTAGTTAGCGGCCTATGGATTTCAGTCTGCATTTGTTTGACCCACAAAGACATTGAAAAGTCACACACATCACTTTTTTTTTACATACGTTAATAGCACAGTAAGTGATTCCTTCAGGAATCTTGTCTAGCATGCATAGTATTATTTTTTTTAAGTAGCATACAGCTTCAGCTTCCTTCAAGGTCTTAAATTCCTTAAATTCCCTTTCCTGGAATGGATTAAAAAAATGCATCCCCTTAAACAATTAATCTGACTGTACCAAATTCATTGTAGGTATATCTCTAAAGCAGAGATGACTCATACCTGCTGATAGTAGGGGGAGGAGGGACAGAGTGAGGGCAGCCAGCTTCAGCAATGTTACTGAGCATGTTTAGGACTAGCCAAGCAGCAAATCCAGGGGGCAGGGGAGACATGTGACCCACATGCCCCTCCCCCCATATGTTGCCACTTCTCCAAAGACTTCCATGATGTTAAACCAGGTAGGAATGAATATGGCCCATTAACTCATCTTTTACGGAAAAATGGTATGCATGTAGGTAACCAGAGGTTTTTTGCTTAATTTGCCTTAATGTGAAGGAGTTAAAAACCCAGGAAAAACAATTTGTGATTAAATTAGCAATTAACCTCTAATAATATATATCAGCACAGTCATGACTCCCAAACCGTTTAAAGATCATAAAGACATGTCAGGCAAAAAGAAAAGCTACAATATTTTTCAAAAAAAGAATTTCCAGCTCTGCATTGAAATGATTTCACTTATACTACATCCTATAAGTCAATTCAGTGTAATGCTTTCAGAATAATACTAAAGAAGTATAGTATTTACTTTTGAAATTAAGTGTAGTGGAGATTGGAGAGTGTATAACAGCACTGAATATACTCTTTTTTTTTTTTTTCCCCAGGTGTCAGCTCAACAGATTCTGAGAGTGAAAGTTTAGTTTTCAAGTCAAAATCTGGAGCTATGCCACAGTAAGTGTGCTCAGTAACACCAATGATATACAAATTTTCTATATAACTGTATAAGAATGGTAGCAAAACTGTTCTGCTACATCTGTCCTTGCTGAGGTTACTCCAAAAGAAAGAAGAGGCTAACTGGTGTTAATCAATGATCAAGTTATGTTAAAGTACAATACCGGACTTTGATCTTGGGACTTGCTACATGCAGGTTTTATTGTAGGCTCAGAGCTATCAAAACAGAAAATAACTTTAGACTAATGGACATCTGTTTAAAAGAAAATATGTTGATGTATAATGCATGCAGAAAATAGCTATGCCTAGATTAACTTGGCTCTACTCACAGAACATCTAGTGAAGGAAATTTCTTAAAAAACAAAGTCAATTTAACTTACTTGTGGAAGAAGGTTTAATATAGGCTGGAAAATTACAATCTATATATATTAAGGCTGTTGATTAATCACAGTTAACTCACACAATTAACTTTAAAAAATTAATCGTGATTAATTGCAGTTTTAATTGCACTGTTAAACAGTAGAATACCAATTAAAATTTATTAAGTTTTTCTACATTTTCATATATATTATATTCTGTGTTGTAATTGAAATCAAAGTGTATATAATTTTTTATTACAAATATTTGCAATGTAAAAATTATAAACAAAAGAAATAGTATTTTTCAATGCACCTCATACCTCTTTTGTTTTTTAGAGTGCGAATATTTCTAATAAAAATAAATATAAAGTGAGCACTGTACTCTTTCTGTTCTGTGTTGTAATTGAAATCAATATGTTTGAAAATGTAGAAAACATCCACAAATATTTAAGTAAATGGTATTCTTTTGTTTAACAGTGTGATTAATTGCGCAATTAATAGTGATTAATTTTTTTTAATCGCTTGACAGCCCAAGTATATATAATACATACATTTCTGTGACAAAGGAGTACATTTCCCAGTAGTTTAGCTGAGCCAAATTTATATTTGGAAATACTTTGGCAATACTGAATTTGAATAAACATTTTGGGTCAGGGGGAAGCATTCATGTAACGATATGTATACCAATGTTCCCATTTAAAAGATGTATCTGAAATTTGGAAAAGTAAAATTTTGAAAGTTTAAAAAGCAAAATGAACAATTTTACAACTTTGAGAAGTTTTACCCAAAACAAAATGTTGCTTACTCACCTGTATCCAATATCTTCCTTAGTTTCTAAGTTTTTGGATGTTCCCAGAAGGAGAGAAAAAGGGTGGATGTAGTGATGAGAGTTTTCTCTGAAACTTAAACAAGCAGTAATCAGGGCCAGCTCCAGGGTTTTGGCCGCCCCAAGCAGCCGCCCCCCCCAAAAAAGCCACGATTACGATCTGCGGCAGCAATTTGGCGGGAGGTCCTTCGCTCCAAGGTGGAGTGAGGGACCGTCCGCCGAATTTTCCGCCGAATACCTGGATGTGCCGCCCCTCTCCGGAGCGGCCGCCCCAAGCACCTGCTTGACAAGCTCGTGCCTGGAGCCGGCCCTGGCAGTAATATATCTGTTTATATTGTGATAACTGTTTCTTTGCAATGTGAAAAGAGAGAAACTTATTTTCCAGATTAAATCTTAAAATTTGCAAAGTATTTTAGAATGCAAGAAGCCTTAAATTGTTTATGTTCAACACTTCCTCCTATCCTGGATGTTCAGAATTTTATTTTATTGGTTTCTTTCATGGAAATAATCTCTGTCAAACATATCGTGCTAGCAACAGTGTATGTGCTGCATCTCCTGTCCTTGTCGAGTCTCCTTCTTTGATTAGGTATAGAAAATGTGCAGTGTTACAAGTGTGGGCATCATTAAGGATCAGATCTACCATCCTTGCCCATGCTTATTCTGAGTAGTCACTCTGAAGAAAATTGACTACTTGTAGAAAAGTGGGTATTTATTCATTGTGAGTAAGGGTGGTACAGGCTGGACCTAACTTTATGAAATCTTAGAAGATGTCAGCTGTGCACATTCAAAAGTGATATCACTTAAACCATGATTGATTGATTTTTTATAATTTTTCTAGAATCTATCCCCCAAACCAAAGCAAAAGCACTAATCCTCAGAGGACTTGAGTGGATGTCAAGTTTGTGTTTTTAAATAAAATGTTTTGTTTTGTTTTACAATTTAAATACTTCCATAACTGAAAAGCAGCTGATGAAGGGATTGAGTTCAAACCTTCCAACATATTCACCCTTTGGGCTGATATTCTCTATCTTTGCCCAAAGTTAATATTTTGGAAGGTTATAAGCATGGACTAAAATGGAAGCTGATTTTGTAATTTTAATCTGGCAGTGTGATCAGCACGAGTTTATAAATTGCATAGAGACAAAGATAGGTAGGAAGGGGATAGACAGTAAAATATAGTAGAAAGATCAATGTGGTTCAGGTAATATTTTATTGGACCAACTTCTGTTGGTGAAAGACACATGCTTTCTAGCTTACACAGAGCTCTTCCTGAAGGTACTCAGTACCTTACAGCAGGTACTCAGACATCCTGAAGGAAGAGCTCTGTGTAAGCTGGAAAACTTGTCTCTTTCACAAGCAGAAGTTGGTCCAATAAAAGATATTGCCTCACCCACCTTGTCTGTCTAATATCCTGGGACCAATGTAGCTACAACAACACTGCAAATAAAATATAGTGTCATCCCTTTCAAATCCTGTAAGAATTTTGAGTTTACGTTGGTTCCAAAGTAACACATTCGATAACTGTTATATGATCTGAAAAAATGGTTTTTTCCCCCCTTTTTTTCCAGGGCCCAGAAGAAAACCACTTCTGTTTCCTTAACAATAGGATCTTCTACTCCAAAGGCTGGAGTCACCACAGCTGTAATTCAGCCTATCTCTGTACCCATTCAGCAGGTACTCAGACATCATGTTAAGTCAGTCAAACATATTAAATATCTCTCTCAAAATTAAATATTGGGGGGCGGAATTGCCATTTTGGGGGGTGAGGGATCATACTTCATATTATTTAACTTAAAATCATTGAACTGCCATTTGCAATCTGAAGATTAACAGTAAAAAAAAAAAATGTTTTGAAGTTACTTACTTTATTTGCCCCCATTCAGTGTATTTGAGCATGTGCACATATGTGCTATATAGGTTTTTACACCACAGTCATAACCATAATATCTGAGCACTTGATAATGTACTGAATACTACACAGGATGCTACATTAATAAGATTTATGATAATTCTTATGTGTATTCTTTTTATACTGCTCAGAACTCCCTATGCATATGATGTTTAATTACATACTTTTAGCACAAAATGACTCTTTAATTTTTATTTTCTGTGGTTAACTTAAATGAAATGGTTGTGGTTTCAGTTATACTTTGCTGTTTTTTACATCAGCTGTGGGAAATAAGTTCGCCTAAAGTGATTGTAAGTTATAAAGTGTCTATGTTGGTCTCTGGACAATCACATTTTCTCTCGAAATTAACTCCTCTTCCTCTCTCCTTTTGTTACATTGGTTCAAGCCCTCCTAGTTCTTAGATTATATTTTTTTAATAACATACTACATTGTTATATGGTACGTAATAATAGGCGATGCAGAACTACTTCATTTTGGGGAGATATTTTAAAGATGATCAGATATCGAACACACACAACTCATTAAGGTAATGACAGTTGGGAACACAGTTCTCATGTGGAGCATCAAAACCTTTAAATCTTGTATTTTGATTGCAGAAGTACACATGTGAAATAGTAAAGTTGCACAATGATTGTACTATAATAAAAACTCCTTTGCAGGATTATGTAGTTGGATTTGCATTAGATCTATATTGATCATATTATCAGAGCATATTCAAACTTTACAGTAATAATACATTTAGCGCTTCAAGTGACTGTCATTTTTGATTTTCCAGGTCCAAAGCCCTACGTCATATCTGTACCGACTAGATGGATCCAAGCCTGTCTGCTCCACACCCATTTTTACAAAGGTCTGTTTTCTCTATCATTATATACAGTCTACATTTTACTTTACAGTCTCTAATAATGCATGAATCCTTTAATCACATTAAAACATATACTTTATATAGTTTGTTATGGGTCCTTTTCCTTGTAGGTACTAGTGGCCACTTAGGAAAAGCAGCTTTACATTGTAATAGTGAATTTCCTGTTCTTCTGCACTATTGAAATGTTTTAAAGAATTAAATGTGTTTGTAGCATACCTATCACTGTTGTACTTGGCCATGGCTACAAAAATTAAAAACAAAACATTTGGCAACACATGCTAATAAGAAAGACCCATTCCCATCATTGCATCCGGGATAATAAAATCTAATGGTTTTGAAGTTATTTTAACAATAATGGATGTGCTCACCAAGTACACATTTTAGCTAGGAGTATTTATAGGATGATTGTAGAAGTTACAAAACTCTTTACATGTCACTAAAATTCAAACCACCAGTTTTTCCAATTTTCCTTAACTACTTGTTCTGTTCCTTTCCTTATCTTTGTCTTGGGTACTAGCCTTTCACGTACTGGTCCATGAAGGTACCTTCTAGGTTTGTACCAGGATAGGACATTCATATATCTTGTCCTTTTCCCTTTGGGACATTCTACTATTAACCTGTGAGAGTAACTCCCTACTTGTTGCTATGGTAACACACTCGTGTCCTGATGCTGACAGTTTTCCTGTCTACTTAAGCCAAAGCTTACTTCAGCTAATGCAAGGTGTTATGGTATACTTGACATGGCTGGACAGAATTGTGAGGCGGGTATAATGCATTCAGTTAACATAACTTCCCAACACTTATATTAATATTGTGCTTAACATACAATATATGTATTGACTAACAAGAACAATTTATTCTCTCATGTCCAGATTAGCCAATATGTAGTTAACAAAAGATGTGTGCCAGCTGAAAATTCTTCATTTCACACCATGGGGTAAAAAATAAGATAGAAGACTATCTGTTGACATCCACCTCTTGTGGATGTTTGGAGTTAACCATTTTCCACTTTCTCCTCAATGATGTTGCTTTCAGAAGATCAGCCTCCTAGAGAACAAGCAGTGCACTACTTCTTCTGTAACCATGATAAGAATGTATTCAAAAATAGACCCTGTATTAAACATATTCCAACTGAAAACACTGTTCTTGGAAGAGAAAATCAGCAGAATGTTATGACACAATGAAATAAATTGAGGCTGGGAAGCTTGATTTGATTGTTTTAAAGTATGTAGGGTTTTTTGTTAATTTACAGTATGTTTGTCACATTTCAGGAGCTGCAAAACTCCACAGCATCTGAAGGACAGGTTGTTGTACTAGAGTGCAGAGTCAGGGGAGCTCCTCCCTTGCACGTCGAGTGGTTTCGACAGGATGTTGAAATCCAAGATTCTCCAGATTTCAGAATTCTCCAGAAAAGTAAGAAATAGCCCTTTGGCTAGCCCAATAATATTCATGTATTCTCAAGAAAGCACCATGGAATTAGCCTCAGTCAGTCAATGCAGTCACTTTCCACCATAAGGATTGAGTTCTGGATAAAGGGAAAACCTCTTATCCACTTATTTGGGTAATAGTAATACAGACCAAGTAAATTAATTCCAGAAGAACTATTATAGACAGGTGATATGAATGTCATCCTTGATTTTTCCTGCCAGTATCATCTGCATAGATACTGTACTTGCCTGTAGTATTTCTATACAGAACTTCTATTATTTTTATTAATGTAACCTCTTTCTAATACATTTTTCTTGTTTATTTTCTCCTTGGATAATGTGATATCCAGAGCCCCGGTCTGCAGCTGAACCTGGTAAGAATCATATGAAAAAATAATCTTTTGATTCACTAGCTCTTTGTGTTTGCATTGAAGCCATAAATAGAACAGTATTTCTGGAGCACATTGGTAATATGAAACCCCCTTAAAGACAATCTATTCTTTTATCACAGGCTTCATATTCTGCACTGTGCTTTACATCCATTCCTGTATTCGTTAAACAGTAAATTCCATTCAGACCAATATGGAGGTCCCCACTGACAAAACCTTTAAACCATCTTTATTCTCAGAAAATGAGCAACTTGCAAGCTAATGAGGAAAAACAATCCCCACAAAATTCCATCACCCAAATTCTACTTGCATAGTTTTGTAACACCAGACCACTAAATGCTGGTTTCCTCAGTCTAGCTTCTCAGATGCAAGCTGTCCTAAATGTAAGCAGAGCTGGCTCAAAATAAGCACCTTCAGTTCCAGTGAGCCTTTCCAGTGTATTCACAAGGTATGACTCTTGGAACTCAGCAGGCATAAAAATGGTCCGTCCATTTGCATGTTTCTTTCTACCTCCTTATTTCACTCTTCACACATTGTGTTATGGACTTTTTGGGCTATCAGCTGGAAGTTGTAGGAATTGGAACATATGTTCTCCCATGCCATACCATTTTTATGTTTGTGCATGAAATCACTAAAATCACCAGCATGGCACCATCTAGCTCCAGTTCTGTGAGAGTGAAAGAAAATGGCTTCTTCTGAAGCAATTGTTTAGGCTTTTGCATAGATTGCTTGGCAAATGTCCTATAAGAGCACTGCAGCCAACCCTTCTCCTCCTTCCTTTCTCCAGAGATTAAGTCAAGGGAAAAACTAGTTAGTAGGAACTACTGGGGCTAAATACTACCACTACTGTCCCAACTTTGTATTCTCTGGCTCAAACTACAGAATGTAGCATTACTTGCTGCCAGTGAGAACTCTTGCTATGACTAGAGTTTCTCCAGCCACTGTAATGTAATACACTTGGCTGACTGGCAGGGAACTCCTGGCCCTGCAGCACATAAGTGGTGGATAGCAGAGAGGAGGCACAGAGCAAGGTTATTTCTGTTCATTATCACATAAGCAGAGTATAGGGCTGTTTTCATATGCTGCCTGTGCTCCTACTTTCCCAGAACAAACAACAAATGGGGTAGAGGATGCCTCTTAGCTTGGTGGTAGAGGATGACAGGTAGCAAGGTAAAGGGCTCTTAGCCTGGGGCTGGTTTTCTGCACATAGAGGGTTGTGTGTGAATGTGGGGTGTTCTGAGCCTTGGGATAAGAGACAGGAGATGGCTCAGAACTAATAAATAAACAAGCGTTCAGATGTGGAGAAGTTAGGGCAGAGGAAAAGAATTTCTGCCTGAGACATAGGTGTTGTGTAGGATGTTTCTGAACTGATAGGGACTTGGTTAGAGGAACCTAGGGGCTTTGAGATGCTGCACTGGCGGGCATGGGGTGAATTGGCGGGACTGAATACGGGGGAACGGCGTCAGCTGGGGATTTGGGTAGGTGAATTGGTGGTGTGCATATGAGGGATCTAGGGTAAAATCTAGGTTGAAGAGGAAGGGTTTGGGACTAGGAAAAAACAGTGAAGGGCTAATATGGATAATTATGATCTTCCACCATGTCTTTTATGAAACTGAGCTGGAAGAGAGAAGGAGGGTGCTCCTTTTTTCACCTCACTTCTCCACCAACCTCCCTTATCCCCCCAGCAAAACACTTGCCTATTGTGCCCCCAGACACAGTGCCTCAGTTTTGGACCTTGAAAATATTGATTAGCAGAGGATGTGGAGAGATGGGTGTGCAGATTGCTACATGCAATCCCATTACTTATTTTGGGCATCAGTTGTCATGGGAATAAATACAAAACTTGCATATGTGCCTATTTTTTTTATATTGCAACTGCCCCACCTGCTTTACTGAGGCCTGAAATGTGAGATGTGCTAGGTAACAACCTTAAAAGAAAGTTGAAAACAGTATATTTGCTCAAACTGGCCTCTCACAAGGTTTAACAGTGAGTCCAGGTATTAACTATGGGGTTTGGGTTATAATTATACACTAGTCTATATTTGTTAAGGATGTCAAATTACAGTACAATCCAATTTTTCTTAAGTGTTTCAGAGACCTCTGAAGCCTTTGGATATGCAGGAGAGTAACATATGGTATGCATTGCCATTGTGGGCTGTAATTGACTGTTGGTTAACTAGGAGTTTGGTTATATGGTGGTCAGATAAATTGGGCTAAAGAAGGAGATATTCAAAAGTAACTAAGGGATTTTATGCTAATGCTGTACAAATAACTGATTATTTGGTTTGTGTGCAGGTCCAAAAAATTGAAAAAGAAAATTGTTTCAGGTTGACCCAAAATGAAAATGTTTAGTAATTTTTGGCAAACCAATATGTAGAGAAAAATTTCATTTTGTGTTAACGAAAATGTTTGTCAGTGCCAAACAAAACATTTTATTTTGATTCTGTGGTGGGTTTTTTTTTTTTTAATTTACAAATTTTTTTTAATAAAATTGAGGGAAATTCCAAAATAAAATGTTTTTTCCAAAACAAAACATGGAAATGTTTAGTTTCAGAAATGCTGAAACTGTTTTGACATTTCCAATTTTTTTAACCAAAATAATTTGCCAAAGTCTACCTGAATTTGATAATTGTTTTAGCCAATCAAAGACTGCATTTTGGGATGAAAAAAGATTTTGCATAAAATATTTAGCCTCGCTGTGTTTAAGAGCCCAGATTCCATTGAAAGTCAATGGGAGCTGTATTCCTAAATTTCTGTGGCACTACTGAAAACTTCCCCCACACTATGTCTTGTTGTAGCAAAGTGACTCTACTCAAGTTATTGTTTTTTAGATGTTATAAAACAAAGCGGATCAGTGTGATAAGTTCCTTTGAAAAAATGGAAATTAGTATTCTTTGAAAATAAGGACTGTTTCAAATTCTGTTTCTAGATTTAATACACTTGGTGTTATGAGAGAAACCCTTGGCATATCTATATCAATAGTATCAGCAGTGCTCCCGCAAGTGATTGTCCATATACACATTCCTCTGATGTGTGCATGTGCTTCATATACTAGAGGTGGGAGTCTTTTTGGCCAGCAGTTTCCATAAGGCATGCATGTGCTATTCAGTCCTTGTGCTCCACTGCAAGGGCATGTAAAGGAGAGGTGTGCTTGCTGCTGTTCCGTTCCTCTCATGGTTTAGAGATGGAGCCCAACAGTCCAAGAAACTGCCAGCCCCTTCTTGTAGTTTTAGCTAATAGGTTTATATTATAGTTTGGTTGCCTGTTGCAATCTTTAGTTCTTAGAGCTCACCCGGGTAGTATGGTGTCATCTGATTTGCTGGGATTAAAACACTGCCCTTCATGGGAGGGAACTATTCCAGTTTCAAATGAACACTTGAAGTCCCTCTGTTTTCTCGGAGAATCACTTATTCCCGGTAAATGCGTAATATGCAGGTCCTTCAGCTCCCAAGCTAGAAAGGACAGGGAGGGCTGCCTTTAGGTCTTCCTAATGATCAAGTCAATGAGACTCACTTCTGAACCAGGCTCACTAGATTCCAATGTACAGGGATCTTCCAAGCCTGTGTATAAAAGCAACTCTTGGCCTTCAAGAGCTCCGACTCAAATTGCAAACATGACAATAGCATTGTCCTTAGACTGCAGGGAGCTAGAAGACCTCGGGGCAGGTCGCTCAACAGTTTCCTCTAAGAGGAAAACCTCACCATGGCACTGAATGTTGTCTGAGACTTTGCAACCCAAAAGGGTTCCCACTGAAGCTCACTCTCAAGACTGTTCAAACCATATGGCACTGAAGCATCTGGCACCAAAATCCAGACTGTCAGGAAAGAGTACAGCACCAACCATGGCACTGCCCACTTCAGTGGTCCAGGCACTGACTCTTTTGGCACTGGAATCAAGCCAATCAGGACAGTTCACCATCACTGTGGCAGAAATTGCCATAATGTCCTGATAAAACCAGTTCCCGTGCACCTGAACACGCCACCCTGCCTGGCACTATTTAGATACTGGCACCAGTGGACCTGCAGATTCACCCAGAACCACAATCGTCCCTGCTGTTGTCTTCCACACAATGATCTATCTTGTAGTTCGATCCCTAAATCTCTGAGGGCAAATCTCATGGATCCAAGTTATACATTCTTCTGGGATTCCTCTTTGGAATTGAAGGACAAAGAAATTCTACTTCAGCAACAGAGTTACTTACCCAGCCTGTCTCCACAGCCCTCAACAACTTATAGAGGATCCAGACACTGCTCACGCAAAAGATATTGGGACCCACAGAATCCACGCTCATAGTTCCCAATCCCCTGGCTTCTAGGTTCTTACACACTGATGCCCATGTGGCCTCGCTAGGGACCCTGGTTGGCTCACAGCAACTTCAACCCCAGGAAGCCACCTCACCACCAGAAGTCTGCTTCCTCCATGACACTGCACATTTAGTTGCCCTAACAACCCTTCTGATTCCTACACAACCACAGGCAGAGGAGGAGGTAATGGAAGAGCAGGCACTGGAAGACAACCTGCCAGCACCAATCATTCTTTCCTCCTCATCCCCTGATGAGGTCTTAGTGGCACCCACCCCCACAAATGGACAACTATAAGGGTTTCCAACACACATTAAAGAGGATGGCAGAGACCATCCAAATCCATATGGCAAAGGGACAAGAACAGACATATAAATTGGTGAACATACATCAAGCCTCTGCAGTAGGGAAGTCAGCCTTCCCAATTAACGAGACCATCATGGATCCAGCCAGAATCTTGTGGCAGACACCTGCTTCTGTACCACTACATCCCCCAGCACAGATAAAAAGTATCAGTTGCCTACCTATGGGTGTGGAATTCTTTAACATGCATCATGCTCCATCTTCTTTTGTAATTGCTGTGGTAAACAAAGAGGCAAAACAATTCTGATCCACACCAAATGAAAAAGAGTTAAAGAAACTAGATTTACTTGGTCAGAAAGCCTACTCCTCAGCAATCCTACA